TGGGCACAGTTAACCTCGTGATATTAAATTAAATTATAATGGCTTAGGTCCAGACAAGTCTATAAATTCATTATTATTCATGAAATAATCATAGGTCCCTTTTTGTTTTTAGATCCATTGTTACTTTGGGATACCATCAGCTTTCTATTATCTATGAGAAAAAGTAACTTTTCAAAGGCTATTAACATTAATAAAAACAAAACTGCTTCCATCCATACCATATATTATTCTATATATTCACTTAAAGTGGCCTAATTTGTTTTTTACGTAAGTTCTCAATAAACATTTTAGACAGTATTAAATTGCATTTTCAAATATTTACTTTCTAAGTAGACTTGTTTTCCTATTGGATTCTAATTTAGGTTTTGGATGTTTATGAGATGGATTCTGAATGTTCCCAAACCACAACCAAATGAGTCTAAAATGCCAGCCAGACAACAGGGCAGAGTCCACCTTCATTTCAGTTTTCCTTTAATGAGCATATGTAATCCTTGTATTTGTTTTTTTTTCCTATCATCTCTTGGCATGTACAGAACACAAGGAAGGAGAATGACCTGGACCTCATCACTGAAATCAGCCAATCGAGGATTTTAGCTGGTCGCTAAATACAATTATACCTCCCTGAATGCCCACGTTCCTCACACTCAGGTATGCTCTTCTCCAGCTAGACTCCTTGCCAATGCCATGCCACCACTGCCCTGGTTCTCCTCTGACAACTCTGCTCCTCAACGAGCTCTTCAAAGTGTTACCATGAAGTTTTATCATTTAGGACTGAGGCATGAAAGAATGAAGAAACTACAAGAGTGCACTTTTCTTCTCTGCAGATATGGATAACACAATCAATATGCTGCCACTTTGAAAAAAACCTAGAGGGCAGCTAACTTTTATATCCACATCCATATCCATTTCTATATCCATAATTCAGCTCTATCTCTCTGGCCTATTGTCATTGCTCTTATAAATACATTTATAATCATAATTCTCTGAAAAAAATTCAACTCCCTAAATGGCCTTGTTAATGTTAACAAATCTAACCTGATATCTAACAAATTGCCCCCTAAGTTTCTTAGTCACAATTTAGGCAGATGGAAAAAGTAAGGGCCCCCATTTGGGAGAAAGTTCCGAGGTAGCCAAGAGTAAGAACTCCAAGGTTCGCTGGGCTCCAACTTGTTTACATCCATGGGAACCAATGGGAAGAATGTGAACATCACCTCTGAATTTCTGATTTTGTTGGCTTGCTCGTAGACTTTTCCCTGAGTTTGTATGACCAGTTTCCACTGGGTGAGCAGCTGGAGCAGTAACTTCAGGGAGGAGTCCAGGAGGCTGTAATGCATGTCATTTACTTCACGGAGCAGGAAGGTGGTGAAGCCAAACAGGACATCTTCCCTCCAGTCTGGGAAGTCAACCAGCAAACCCTGAAGAGAATTTTGTGCAATATGGCGCAGTTCATCATCCATGTGAATGGAGAGCCTGTGCGATGAATAAAAGACCAAAAAAAAACCATACTTCATTAGCTTTTCTTCTAGATCTATGAAGGAATACCTATAGGTCTCTGTTTTTACTTATATCTAAAAAATGGTCACCCTCTCCTAATATGTTATATTCTTCACTCAGCAACCCTAACATTAACATCTTATATAACCATGGTACTCTTATCAAAACTAAGAAATTAACATTGGTGCAAAGCTATTAACTACACCACAGGATTTATTCATATTTTACCAGTTTTCCACCAATGTCTTTTTTTTGTTTCATAATGCAATATAAGATACCACATGACATTTAGTGTACATGGAGACTTTTTGATACATTACTGACTAGAAGAATAAATTATTATCAAATTCTACCACTTTTAAAGATGAGAAGCGTGAGTACTAGTGAAAGTAAGAGACTCAGTGAAAATGAGCAATTAAAAGTCAGTCCAGGTGTCCTTAATTAGTTTGGTGTCCAAAGGGATGTTTGGTTGTCAGAAGAGACACTATAGTGATCACATGTTGGAGAGTACTGCTGGCATCTCTCTAGCAGATAGAAGACAGGGATGCTGATAAACCTCCTATAGTGCACAGGACAATTCCCTATGACAAATAATAACCTGGCCCCAAATGTTGGTAGTGCAAGGCTGGGCTAGTCAACTGAAGAATATCAGTGTATTTCTGGTTTAACCTATATTAAATCTCAACATTGGTATGGGGCATTATAGTTAACATATGTTTTATAAATTCTTTTATTCATTTATTCAATAAAAAATATTTTCCAGGCACTATACCCATTGCATACAGCCTTATGGAGTTCAGTATGGCTGTGTCTATTGGGTAGGGTGCTGTGTAGAACAATGCTAGAGAAGGAGCAGGGGCAGCTCAGGGAAGGTCTATAGACCACCCCGGGAAGCAGTACAGCAGAAAAGGGGTTAAGTGTGCATGCTCTGAAATCAGTGCCTAAACCAGTATCTTACTTTTGTAACTCATTAGTCATGTGACCTCATGCTACTTACCTAATCCCACCTAGCCTCAGAACCTCATTTGGAAAGTGGAGACAATAACTGTCCCTGCATCTCATAACCATGCTGTGAGGACCATTGAGATGGTCTGCGTACAGAGTTTAGCACCACATATAGCACAAGGTAAGCACTCAGTAAATGTTGGCTGTTATCATTAGAAGAAAATGAATGTATTCTGTAAATTATAGAAGTAACATGATTAATTCACATCTGAGAAAATAGAAATATGGAGGATGCCTTCAAGAAGCAATAAGACTGAGGGCAAAGGCCAGTCAGGAGGGCATTACAGTGAGTTAGGCAACAAGTTGGGGGTGGGTTCTGACCTGAGGCAAAGAAGTAACAAAGAAGGGAGAGATAAAGGACAAAGATTTTTAGGAGAGAAAATTTCCAGGACTCAGAAGCCTGGAAATGTTCAGTGTCAGAGTAGAAGCTGGCCAGTCAATGGGGGCCTCCCACAAACAGGGTCGATATTATCCCCAAGCAATAGAAGGAAAAATTGTGACCCAGAGAGATTAAGGAACTTTCTTAAAATCCAGGATTCTGATCCAGGACTTCTAATTCTTAATCTAAAGTTTTCTCTGAAAACAAGTGTGGTACAGTTATACATTTTTGAATAAATAGAATTTCAAAAACTTGATAAATACTTTTCTTATTGGCTAAAGCACACTAACTGGTCCAAATTTAACCAGGTCCAAATATCCAGGCAAAAGCTCATAAGTAAGCAGATAGGTACAAAGTCAGAGAAGATCTATTTCCTGCTCCCAAAACAAGTTCCACAAAGATGTGGAGAGGAAGATGGAAGGCAATTCTCTGAGCAAGACCCAATTAAGTCCACAGTTTTTTTTTTAAAATATATTTTATTGACTTTTTTACAGAGAGGAAGGGAGAGGGATAGAGAGTTAGAAACATAGATGAGAGAGAAACATCGATCAGCTGCCTCCTGCAAACCCCCCACTGGAGATGTGCCTGCAACCAAGGTACATGTCCTTGAATGGAATCGAACCTGGGATTCTTCAGTCCCCAGGCCAACGCTCTATCCAGTGAGTCAAACCGGTGAGGGCAACCACAGCCATTTTTTAATGGTCTTTGAAAAGTATAGAGGAAGAAAAAACAAATACTAGAAAACTGAGTTTTTGGCCTCACATAATCTATATAATAAAAGCCTAAGCAACTGTTATGGCAGACCGGCCAGAACGACCGGTTACTATGATGTGCAATGGCCATGGG